AGTGTTTTCTTGGATGAATTTTTTTTATGGTTTTATTGGTTTTCTTGGTATCATTTAATAGAATGGAAGACATGTTACTGGAATAGAGATGATTTTGATTGGTTTCAGGACTTGAAGCAGCTTGAAATTTAGCTCGAAGGAATGGAAATATTTGATGTTTGCTGATATTCTGGATTATGAGTAAGGCCCCTCTACAACCCCCAGTCTGTTTTGTGGGTTTTTAAGAGGTCTGATTAAATTATTGCAACACTGTAAGCCATAACCAATCTTTCCTGGTTATATTTTATTATCTGAGAAATAGAGTAAATCTTCTATTTTTGTGTGAATAAGAATTCATAATTGAAAGTAAATGTAATATGGGAGAGGCCTTGGGACATGACTGATGAATGGAGGAAATGGTTTAGTGCCAGGAATGTTGACATTGTTTATTATGAACTCCATTGTTAAATTGGTATTTTTTTAATTTTGTGTGAAATTGGCCATATTACTAAATTCTGATCACTTTATAGAGTAATTAATAAAAATAAAGATAGTTACTTATACAGTAAAATATAGCTTCAAATTAAATAGTAAAATGCTTGGTCAAACTTATATCGCATGGACTGTGTTTAGTTGTGTCACTAATGGTGACAACCAGGAGCTAATGCAAATAGAGTACATACAGGTTGACCATCACTAATCCGGCATCATCGGGACCTGTATGGTGCCGGATTAGTGATTTTGCCAGATTACAGAGTGGTTAGGTTAGAATACACTTATCCCAATGGCGATATTTATGCAGCGGCGATTTCTCCCACTTTATGCCGTATTTTTGACCCATTCCATTGTTCCAATCTACCAAACTCATTGTTATTTAGTTAATATTCCTTCTGTTCTGTCAGTTGAGTACAGGAAACCTCCCATTCACCTATTTCAGCTACCCAATAAAGTGGTCAGAAATCGGTAATTTGGCCAGTTTCACACAATTTTAAGTGATGCCAATATCAAAATAGGGTCGATAATAAACAATGCAGACATTCCTAGCACTAAAATAACATTTTCTCTGTTCATCAGTCATGCTTGCTTTCCATTTTGAATTTTTATTCACACAAAAAATAGAAATTTACTGTTATGGAGACTACTGCATTATTGTAATAATGCATAAATAATGTCAACCCATTCATGACTGCGTATTAGACCAGCCAGTTGGACACGTATTGGACAGTGATGTCATTTGTTTACTCTTGAACATCGGCAAAAATCGAACATTTCCACTACTTTGAGCTCAATTTTAAGGCACTTTCCTGCATGAAAACAATCAAAATTATATCTATTTATGTAATATATCTTCCAATCTATCAAATGATACCAAAAAAAACGAGAATACAACCATACAAACTTTATTAAAATACACCGTAAATTTGCTGTTTTACGCCAAAAACATGGTCGCTGTTTTTTCTCATAATGCATTGCGTGTGCAGGATTTTTTTATAGTGCACACTTACCACACAGACCTATTCTTTCATATGTAGGCCCAAATTTACCGGTCACAGCTTACATGAGTGAGCTAAGCTCATGGCGACCAACAGTGGCTTCATAGCCACCTAATCTTTTATGGACAGTGTATGGTGTATGTGCTTTACACAACAAGAAGTATTTCTTTTACTCAATGGAACCATGGCTAGGGCTAAAGGTGAGCAGGTTATAACAATAAAGGGAGAAAAAGAAATTTGAATGGTTTATGCAGCAAGTAGCGCAACCAAACAGTAGCAGCAGGTTGGATGGTGACCCTGGAAATTTGAAATTATGCTAGCCGAAATTAGTGCTTGATTACTGAGGAACCGGATTACTGATTGCCAGATTAGTGATGGCCAGTCTGTATTAGGCAATCACATACTCAAGTCTATGATGTTACACAAGTACAAAGAGAATACTTTAGGTATATTTTTCTATAAGTCTATGATATGTGTCCTCATGTACAAATGGACAGTCAACATTTCCCTTCCACTTTAATAGTGATAATTTTAGTTAAGTTGTGTGTGTTTTTAGAGCTTAAGAGGAATTATTAGACGTATTATACCTTCGTATTATTGTAATTTTTCATGTACGTACTATATTTCAGTGGCATGTTGTGGAGAAATTACTAGAGTAAGCAAATCATGCTCAGGCTTGTGGATAGATCTGAATTATGAATATTAATGTTTGTTTTTATTTATTCATAGTTCAGTGGAATTCTTATGATATTTAAATAAATGATCAGTAACTGCTGTAAACTTCTGGCTTGCTTTAAAAATTTTGATAAATTCCTTTTATAGAAGCGGGAAAAGATTCTGCATTTTTTTTTTTTTTTTTTTTTTTTTTTTTTTTGCAACTTTGAGAATTTCTGGAGCAAGTTTTATTTTGTTTTAAATCAGAGGAGTTGTGCTCTTCCAGTGCTGTCTTCGCTGGAACCATTGCTGGAGAGGTACGTGTGGCTGAATTAGTAGTGACTCAGCTCACATTTAGGGACGGGTTTGATTCC